AACAATACAATACGTTTTGCACACACTAGTTGCAAACATATAAGAGTATTAGTTTGTATATCTGTGAAATACTGGGAAGTGAACTGATTAAAGAGAGAGAGAGCACTGTGTGTCATCACACTCCTGCATTGGAAAGGACATTCTTAAAACTCATTAGAAAGGACTTTCTTAGAAGTCTCTCCTAATCTTAACCCAAATGTACATTCAAAAACCTTCTACTACTTCATTAAGTCTTGAGCCCTACCGTTGCATCTGCAATAAGCCCTACCACACTCAATAGAACTTACTTCTGAGTAAAAAGTATGTAAGTTAGATGTTGTATCTTTCTACATTCAGGCAGTTGTATAATAGCTTGATAATCAAGAATAAATTAAATTCAATTAGACTTCAAAATTACAAAGCTTTATCCACTTCAGTTTAAATTACTCTGGCTGCAATAATGTAAGGCTTAATTCCCAGCCCTTGTCTATGCAGTCAATTTCTCAGCTGGCCAATTACCATTTCCCTGAGACCCCAAATATATCAGGATGCAATTGGGTTTTATCTAAAGGATAGGGAGCTGCTACCCTTAGCTGCTGTCTTTAAAAAGCTGCCATCTCTTCCTTCATTTATGGTGATACCTTGACAAGCTCTTGTTATGTTGTTCACGAACAAATGCTTGGAACGGCACATTCATGAAGAACATGCAACTGACAAAGAGTGCTTGTAAAAGGCAAGATTTGTATTGATCCACTTAAGGCTTCAGAATTTAGCCTGCAAAGAGCAACATTCATTGTTCTCAGATTAACAGAACAAAAAAATCATGTATAGGTGATGTTCCTGTCTAGATTTCCACCTTCGCTACAACAACAATGTTCCAGAAATAGTCAGGCCTCACATATCAATCTGACTGGCACTCATGCAGACAAATAAAATTAACATCTCAATGAGAATGGATGTCTAGAGGAGGTGTTGGTCAAGCTGATGATGAGTGAGTTGCCAATCCATCTATATTTATTTTACTGCATGTTTTCTTGGTTTTGCTATTTAACCATGAGTGAGCTACCAACCCACTTACAACTTATATATTAATTGACAGCATTTTTCTTGGTTTTACTCTTTGACCTGTTACTGACCTTGCTACTATAAATCACTTTGAGGATCTACGTGTAGAAAAGAAACAAAGCTGTGATCATACTTATGCTTATTAGGGAGCTGAGTTGAAAAGTTGGGTCTGAAAATTAATTTGCTGATGCTAAATTGAGAGACTAATTCATTGTCATTAACACCATAAACTGAGGCAATTTAACTCATTAAACTGTGATTAATTAATTCATAACAGGACATAGGATTTACAGAGAAGATATTGAGGTTGATGCCTTTGATCTCTGAAGCTCTTTTGTTCTCTTTGAAGTTGCCTTTCCACAACTTCCCCCCCCAAATGGACTACAAAGCCCATTGTATGTTTTTTTTGCATGTGGAATGTCTAATTATTGTCAAGTTATATCAGGCATGGGTAAACTGGAGTCCTCCAGGTGTTTTGACTTCAGCTTCCACAATTCCTAAGAGCCAGTAAACTGGTTGGGATTTCTGGGAGTTGAAGTTCAAAACACCTGGAGGACTGAAGTTTGCCCATGCCTGAGTTATATAAAGCTGTCCTAAAGCATTTCACAACTGATAGTCATTCTAAGAATAATGTTTAAAGTTAATAAGGAACTATATGTTTGGCTCAAGCAACTGACCATGACCCAATGCAGCGATTGTCAGTGATTGTCTCCCAGCCAAGTTACCACCTGTTAGGATTTCTGGGAGTTGAAGGCCAAAAACATTTGGGGACCCCAGGTTGAGAACCACTGATCTGCAGAGTAGTCAGTGAATAAAGGATGGATAATTCTTTATGAGAAATGTTCTGAATATCTTTGGGCATCTAGGGAACATTGCATCCTCTCTACCTCCCCATTTTCAGTCAAGAAGCACAGACTGGGTTCTTGGTACGGTTCTAAAATTCACCTGTGGGCTTTTTTAAAGCAGGGATTCAAGAAGCCCATTGCATTCAGCATCCATCTTACTGCAATACTCTTTGTTCTTTTCTCCCTTGTCCAATACAATAATGTTTACACCAGTGGTGGCTGTTAAGGCAGTTAATTCACTCTAGGTTTTGGACAGTTTGAAAGCATTTTCCAAGGTGCTGAAACCTGGATAAACCTAAACTGTATTCACTCACCCACTAACATAGGGCCCATCCAGACAGGTCCACAATGCGGGACTTGTCTGGGTTTTTACTGGAGGCTTCCAAATGATGCTTCTGGTAAAAATGAATGAATTCAGAATAACCTAAGCTAATCCAAATTAATTAAATACCCCATTAGATCCAAGCCTTACCAAGGCCCAGGTCTAATTGGATATTGGGCCTGTGTGGGGACTTGCTTCCAGGTAGACCTGGGACTACCTGGGGGTGAGTCCCCATTTGCCATCCTGAACCTATTGGACTACTGGAGTCCAAACATCCAGCATGGTGCCCAACCACCCACCCACCCCCCACCCCCCAGCCCCACAGTTCTCCATAAATATGAAGTGAAACTTACCTGGCTGCCATAACGTTCCTCCTTGTACCTTGGCACGAGGAGAAAAGTTATGGCAGCAGGGTACGTTTAAATTTATTTTTATGGGGAGATGGGGGGGGGGCGATTGTAATTGGAACGGCATGTAGACAAGCCCTCCCCCGTGAAAGCCTGGAGCATGGGGACTCAAATTTGCACCAAAGCGGCTTTTTAAATTTGGTATGGATTTGGGGTCTGTCTGAAAGCACCCATAGAAGCTTCCAGATATTACTGGTTTCCACTCATTTTGTTTTCTTTCTTTAACACGATTCATGAAACATTTGCAACAAAGCATCAGAAATGAACTGAAGTAGCCCAGGGGCTGGTGAATACATTATCATTACAGCAACCTAAAACATCTGCTCTGGAAACCTGGTCTTGCTGGTCCCTTGTAATTAAGCCAGAAAACCTCATCTTCTCCTTCCCTTGTTATGCAAGATGACAGACCCTTTATGCCATCATGAGATTCAGTAAGAATCCATATGAAGGAGACTATATAGGTATCTTTGGTGATGGCCTCCTATTCTACAAAGGGATGCAGCAGCACAAATAAAACTGCCTTTATAGAAGGATATGAAAGGTAGAGTATCTCTGTCCCCTGAATGAGAATGACCCTATTTTACTCCTTAGTCTCTCTTCTTCCCATCAAAAGCTGCTGCACAAATAAAACTACCTTTATGGAAGGATATGAAGGCAGAATATCTCTGCCCCCTCAGTTGGAATGACTCCTGTTTTATTCCAAAGTCTTTCTTCTTTCCATCAAAAGCAGGGACAACCCAAAGTTTGCTGACTGAAATAAAGGAGAAAACATGGCCCCTTTCTCACTTCTATATTCTCTGAATTTGTTTCCTCCCCACTTCTGCAAATATTGAGGCTTTCTTGAGCCTAATATCCACTCTTGTTTTTCTAGCGCTATGTTTTGTTCAGACAGATGTTATAACTAGATAATAGAGATCATTTTAATGTATATATCTCTGAACATTTTCGACAAGAAAAGAGAGAATTGGTTTATGAACCTGCATGAGCTTCCTCCTCATGTTCTTAAAACTACTGGTTGGGCAGGCTCCAACTTTCCAACAGAATGAGCCTGTCCCAATCTTGCCTCCTTATACACTTTCCCCAAAGACTTTGCCCAACAATGGAAAAGGGTCAGGCTGGGAGAATGCACTACAGACAACAGACAGTGTGCCTTTCTTGTTATAAAAATGGACTTTTGCAATACTGAAGAGGAAAATATGGTTTTGTCTTATTCACTCCAATCTTTGAGAAAGAAAATGGCAGCATGAACTAACAAGGTTGCTATGTTGGATATGTCATTAGCCACATGTAACTTTAATACTGAAGAGATCCTGTAGTAGGATGAGGCACCACAACACTGTGTCAAATGGGATAAAGGTCTTTCCAATAGTTAAGTCACAGCCATCCTCTCCCCACACAGCTATTGTGTTGCTAGTGCGGAGAGAAGGAAGCATGGAGGTCTCTGCAACAATAACAAAGCTGGGTGCTCCTCGATGGATCTTCTGCTCTCCACCAGTGATGAAATACAAATGTTGTGAGGTGATATCTCCAACTAGAAGTTGACATTTGGCATATAAGGGAGGACAGGTACCTTCATCTGTCTTGATGGATGCCTAAAGCACCTTGTCCTATTTCACAATCTGTTCAAGATTAAAGTTTCAAGAGCCCCATCCCATATCCAACTTGGCAACCCTATGGACAATAAGAATAGTAACAAAACGGAAAATAAACATCTTAGCTATCAACATAAATTTAGCATGTGTACATGATATACAGTCATGTCCAATATTTTATTTGAGAATCACAGAGCTGTTTCTTTACTACAGACCTATCCATCAATAGAAAGGCCATGTCCTTCAGCATCAAATAGTGTTAAAGACTACTGTAGCTAACAGATCTATCAAGTACAGAAAAAGCTTGTTTCAAGCCACTGTTGGGTAAGCGCACAGAAATGCTGGGGATCTTTTATTGTCATCATGATTCACTCGTGCACGCATGCATCTGCCCGAATGAGACGGGAGATGCTAAACTCATTTTCTCTGCTACTAGTCTTCAAAGAAATGGCTGTTTTATTTGAAATATGTTTGCTTTTCCAGTATATTTAACTTTCCCCAGATCCATTTGTCTTTAGATAGAAAAACACATTGTTGGTATCTGTGCAGAGGAAAATGTGCTACAAGAGATGCAATAAAAGATCATGAGCTGCCAAAGAGGCAAGGTTCTATTATGCTTTGACACAATCATCTTGAATAAAATGGCATGCTTATCCAAAGTAAGGTGAACTTGCAAATAACTGGAACAACATGGGCCGCAGGTGGCAGATAACAAAGCCAATGAAATCAGTGTTGCATTGCTCACCCAAGGCACAACACAGGTAATTCTGGTCCTATAGGTGCTACTCACTTGTTCCTGAAGAATTTTCAGCATGGCCTGCGCGTGTGTGTGTTCTTCTTTCGCTTGCTCAAGCTCTGACTTTTTGTTGTTTAATTCTTCTTGGATTTTCAAAAGTTGCTGCATGAAAGAAAAGATGTTTCTGATTACTGATGTCTGAGACCCTGTGAATAAATATCCAGGACTGCAAAGTCTCACGCAAGCAGTATTTTTCACGTTTGTTCCCATTTTCTGTTTTCATTGCTTTGACTGTTATGTCTAAGCTGAACAAGACATAAATTATATCTGCCTGCATTTTCTGCTGCTCAGCAAGGAAATGCATTTCTCTTAATGTAACAAATAACTACACATTAAAACACACAAACTCCTGGCTGGATATACCATCTGCAGAGGAACTGTCACATCCATCTGAACCAAAGGCTTATTTGTAGAAGGAGACACTTTGGGTTTAATAATCCTGGAATAAACATTTCACCCATAAATAATTTACGAACACAGCCCTTTAATATAATTAGTCACTGGCCCACAGCCATCTCATTTTGCACAAAGCCATAATCTGAAATGTATTTGTGCTGAGTTGCCAAGAAGGCAAAACACAGCTTTTTTTCCTCTGGTCTACGATTGCAGGGTTTAATGATTAGATGAGTGAGACCGAAGCCCTGAAAACCAATGCATCAGCAGAGAAAATGTTGATTTAAGACAGGTGCTTCATTGCCAAAGACAGTCTTCCATTTACAAGATGTTTCAAGGTTTTAAAAGAAGGACTTCGTGTTCTCCAGTCCAGTAAGAAATCACATAATAAAATGAAAACAAATAGGCATTCGACATATGGTGGAAGTGAGTTCAATACACATTTTCTTCCCTGGAAGCAAATGTCTCATAGTGACATGGATACAAGTCCAAATACTTTATCTGCACCTCAGAAAGTCTTTGCATTTTCCAAGACCCAAAAGATTTAATCACCTGATCTGCATTTTCCAAGACCCAAAAGATTTAATCACCTGATTGTTTTAAAATTCTGAATGCAGCTGACAGAGGATAGAAATTTATTCATTCAATTTATTTATAATCATAAGATTGTCACAAGACATTCTATTTAATTTTTGTTTTATTTACTAGAGAAGTCCCAATTTCCAAAGTTATTTGTCCTGGCAAAGCATGAAATAAAAGAGGAAAGCATTTACTTGCTTAGAGCTTAGGGTGCATCTACACTACAGAATTAAAGCAGCTTGACACCACTTTGACTGAGCAATGCTACTGAAACATCGGAATTGTAGTTTTCCATGGTATTTTCCCTTCTCTGCCAATATATGCTGGTGCTGCACCAAATTACAAATTCCTGGATTCCATGGCATTGAGCCAGGGCAGTTAGAGGGATATCAAACTGCATTAATTTTCCAGTGCAGATGCACCCTTACTTATTGGACTGCCAGTATCTAAGATATGGGATACAGAGCCAAGCCAGGAAGGAGCAGAATGCAGAAAAACAGGACAAGGACACTATTTTGTGATGATGAAGGTGATCACAATGCATATGTTACTATTATGAATTACATTTTTATATATTTAAAAGCATAAATCAGAATTCAAAGTGTCTTCTTTTAAAAAGCAAAATTCAATGTAGTTTCAAGGACATTTTATGGGGAACAAAATCCTGGTGAGCATTTTTATCTACAAGGGTTCTTTCTTTAGTTCTCTCTTTCATTTTCCTTGCCAGAATTTATACTCCATAATGAGAGGGTACAAATGGCAAGAATGATCAACAGGGCAGCAGAGAATGAAAGGGAGGGACAGAAAAAGGAAGCCTATGTGATGTTGCCTTATGGTGAAGCATGTATGGACAGGAAGGGAGCTGCAACATGTAGTATGAGAGAGAGAGTAGCTATAAATAAGGATGTGAGGCAGGAAAAGAAAGATATGGGAGGACACTAAGATATATAAAAATAGGGAAGAAAGACACCCAAATCCGCAAAACACAATCTGTAAGCATTGAGAAAGGCCTAAAACATCAGCATGGGTTTCTCAAAATCAAGTCATGTCAGACAAACATCTCTCTTTTTTTGACAGAATTTCAACATTTGTATATTAAGGGAATGGTGTGGATAGAGAATATCCTGTTTCAGTAAGGCCTTCATCAAGCATCCCCATGACCTTCTCACAAAGGAGCTAGTAAAATGTGGGCTAAAAATGTTACTCATTGGTAGATTGGGAACTGGTTAACTGGCTGAATCCAAAGGGTGCTGACCAATGTCTCCTTCTCATCCTGGAGAGAAGTGACCAATAGGGTGCCACAGGGTTCTGTCTTGGATCCAGTACTGATCAACATCTTTATTAATGACTTAGATCAGTGGTTCTCAACCTGTGGGTTCCTACTATATATTCCGGCATATAAGACGACTGGGCGTATAAGACTACCCCCCTTCCAACGCACACCATTTTTTAAAAAAAGCATCAGATTTGATTTCAATATTACTGTACCTCCTTCTCTGCCTCTCAGATTTCACACATGTGCACCTGCGCCGCTTCACTGCAGTCTTCAGGAGTGAAATCTGAGAGGCAGAGGAGGAGGTCAGACAGGTAAAAGAGGTGTGTTTGTCTGGGCCCAGAGCCACTCTATCTCTTTTTTCCATACCCTGGGTGCCCCGGACGCCTGCAGCTTGCTCTGCCCTTCACTTACAATTTCCTGGTGAGGCGCCCCTTCACCTCACCATCAGGACCACATCCATGAATCCAGATGAATGGATTTTCTTCTACTTGTGTAGCGTCGCCCTTAATGCTTTCATACAGTCGCTGCAGGGATACTGCCATTGCCATTTTTTAGCTCCCCCCACCATATGCGGCAACCACAGATTCTCCAATCCGATTGGAAGTTTCAGCACCCGCTCTATAAGACTACTCCCGTGTATAAGACTACTCCCTAGTTATAGTTATAGCCCTGCTCCATTCTGTCTTGGTCAGACAACATCTGGAACATATCCAGAGAAGGGCAACCAAAATTATTAAGGGAGTGGGGAGAGGAGCAATCTGCTTATAAACAATGTCATTGACATTTTGTTTTCAATATGTTTTTTGAGCTTTAATCTGATTCAAACAATCTTGTCTTTTACTTTGGGAATTTACAGAAAATCCAGACATGCATTCAATGCATATGGAAGTTCCTGCAGATGTGTCACCGGGAGAGGAGAAAGTGGTGGATAGTAAGCATTCTAGCCAGGAAATGGCTCTTTCTTGACTTGTCATCAACATTGATTTTGACTTGATGATGGGAAAATAAAAAAATAAGGGGGGAGTGTCCACAGCTATGTGGCTGAAAACAATGCAAATAATTTGGTGCCCTAACAGAATTATGTGTTTGCCAGGGGAAAATGTGTAGTTGCCTATGGCAATTTAACTAAAATATGTGTGGGGCATTAACAGGGTCACTGTAGGAAGAAAGTGAACTCGAAAAATGTCTTGCCAAACTGGTTTTTTTTCATCAGTATAGACAAACCATAAGTTGCTTTTTGTAGACAAACCCTAAGTTGCTTTTTGACATTGTTGTAACAACACCCCCCCATGTTCAATTTTTTATTTTTTTCCCCCCTAGAATTCCTCCCTTTCTTCTGTTGTGGGTGTATTAAAAATAAATAATAGATATTGTTGGAAGATGACAAAAAGAAAAAGAAAGCTGCAGAGTCATATCATTCCCTTCTCCCCGCTAATAATGCACCATCACTGCTTTTTTCTAAATATTTCTGATCAGGATATGTATATGTATATCTATATGTATATAGAGTCAATAAAACTTTCTAGTGGATGGGGTAGTTGAGAAATTTGTTTTTCCAAAATTCATGCAGCTGCTTTTCCCTCTCTCCCAAGATCAAACAGGGTTGGGAGAGCAATAAAATCTTGTATAAAATTAATCTTCCTTCTGGTAAGCTAGTTAGTGGAGGAATGTAATGTAAATTTAAATGCTGGGTTAAAATAAATGTCCCCCTTTAAATGTAAATGCGACAAATGTTTGTTCTTTTCCAAAGGCTTTTTAGTATAAACATAATACAATAGCATTTCCCGTCTAATTTTCTTAACTCTGCTTTGGGCAGTTTTGAATGGAATTAAGCTAATGAGGGCAGGATCAACTCAAGACAATCAGCATGTTGATTTTTCTTTGCTTCTGATCACTTTTTTCAAGACCTAAACTCTTTCACTCGATCCTGAGAAGGAAGCTTTGTCTTAAACTCTGAGATCCAGGTTGCCTACTTAATCTTCTTATATCGCAATCCAGTCTGTCAGTAAATCCAGTTATCTCTGCTTAATAAACTCTCACTTAATCAAAAGGTACCAGGTTGGGCAAGACTGCAGAGCAGTTAGACAGTTTGCAAATTTCCTGTTTGGCTCCAAACCCTGCTACTTGGCAGAAATGAAAATAGCATGCAGCATAATGTTTGAAATTATTTGGCTGGATTTTGTTTCTGTATCTGTTTTTAAATTCAGGTGGGTAGCTTCTATTAGAGCAGTATATATAGCAGTACAGGCTGTGGAAAAACTCTTTTTTTTTCCCTGTACAACATCAAAAAGAGATCACATACATATATGGAAAAATGTGCTGAATATAACCATTCATTATTTCCCTTCTTCCCCTCTAGAGGAAGGACTCTGTGGATAGCCTTTGCTTCAATGTCCATGCTGATTATTTAAACAAATTCAGACTGCAACTACACATGAGAGATCATGAGAATATGAATTATGAATTGGAGCATTTATTTAATGGTGATCTCAAGCACGAAAACTCCCCCAGTGCTGCTCGGGTGTCAGGATTAGTTTTATGAAATAATGTCACCGTTTGACAAGGCATCTTTATGCTTTTGGGTGGAAATGCAGCATCCTCAGTGTCTTTGGTATGCTAACTCAATCTATCCCGGCTTTCTTCTTAGTGTTCTGTATTTTGCTCTGAATGTTTTAGCCTCAAGAATTATTCAAACTCTAAAAGCTCTGTTGCTTTGCATATTCACCAACAAACAGGCCTGGAGAAGCGATACCAGTTTTACATGCAAGAACATCTCCCTTCCAGTGACACAGTCAAAAAGGTCTTCAAGCTACGACCTGAAATGCCCAGCGATGATGATGAACCCTGTCCACCC